GGAACTAAAGAAGAGGGTTTTAGATGAGGCCCAGAGATCAGTGTTTGCCATGCATCTGGGTAACAATAAAATGTATTGGGATTTGAAACAAACCTATTGGTGGCCTAAAATGAAGAAAGAGATTGCAGAATATCTGTCCAAGTGTCTTCAATGTTAGCAAGTTAAGGCTGAACATCAGAAACCAGGCGGTCTACTTCAACCTCTCCCTATTCCTGAATGGAAGTGGGAGCATGTAACTATGGATTTTGTTGTTGGCCTACCTCGGACCTCTCGAGGTACGGATTCTATTTGGGTTGTAGATGATAGACTGACTAAATCTGCACATTTTCTACCTGTCATAACTACATTTAATGCTTACAGATTGGCTACAATATATGTTGATGAGATCGTCCGTTTACACGGATTTCCAGTATCTATTGTGTCGGATAAAGATCCAAAATTTGTATCTAGATTGTGGAAGAGTTTTTAGGAAGCTATGGGGACAGAACTAAGGTTCAGTATTGCATTCCACCCACAGATAGACGGGCAATCAGAACGAACAATACAGACTTTGGAAGATATGCTTCGGATGTGTGCTTTGGATTTTCAGGGGAGTTGGGATGACTATTTGCCACTTATGGAATTTGCTTATAATAACAGCTTCCACTCCAGTATCGGTATGGCACCATACGAGGCTTTGTATGGTAGAAGGTATAGATCACCAAATTGTTGGGCAGAGGTCGGGATAGAGCTTTATTTGGGCCTGAAATTGTACAAGACACTTCTAAGAAGATCAAAACTATTCGGCAAAGGCTTAAAACAGCTCAGGACAGACAAAAGAATTATGCAGATGTGCGAAGAAGACCTATTGAGTATGAGGTGGGTGACCACGTGTTTATCCATGTGTCCCCAATGAAAGGCCAAGTCAGGTTTGGAAAGAAGGGCAAATTGTCCCCCCGTTACATTGGGTTGTTTTAAATTTTAGAAAGACTTGGTCCAGTTGCCTATAGAGTTGCCTTGCCATCGGGATTTGAGCAAATCCATAATGTGTTTCATGTGTCGATGTTGAGGGGTTACCTCCGAGACCCGTTTCGCGTGATTGATTATCACCGGGTAGTTATTGATGAAAATATGGAGTACGCCGAATGGCCGGAACGAATTATTGACCGGCAAGTGAAACAGCTAAGCAGCAAGTACATTCCAATGGTGAAAGTGGAATGGAAAGAACACTGTGGGACAGATGCCACGTGGGAAAAAGAGGATGAAATGCGACTACGCTATCCACATTTGTTTCCCGACGAAGGTAAATTAAGTTTGAAGGACCAAACTTCCTAAAGGGGGAAGACTGTGATATCCCTGTTCCGTAATATGCTAATTGGTCTTAACATGAATGCGATTATGTGTTTGGTATGATTCTGTGTGCCAATTATGTGAATACATGTGGTTTTGAATTTCTATCTGTTCACCGTAGGAATATCTATTTGATTATCTGCTTCGGAATTTAAATTGAAGGCCTCATCGGCCATAGAACCTGAAATTGATTACGCCATTATAATTGGCTTAATTTTTAGAGCCTATGGTGAAATTTAATTAGAAATTGATTCAGATTAGAATTAATTGATTAAATTGATGAATTAGTGCTCAATTATTTATTATTATTAAATTGGTGCTAGTGGGAACTTATGTAAAGAGGCACTATACACTTAATTGATACACTTGAGCTCAAAAATCAGATTTTGTGCCTCAAGAGAGAGAGGGCCAGCTATAGAGAGAGAAAGGGAGAGAAATGTGTAATCTTGGCTCAAGGTTTGGGAATTTGACGATTAAGCTCAAGAATTGGCTAAAGTTTGGGAATTTGAAGCTCCTAGGTAAGTGAATTCCTGAATTTTAAGTTATCATCTTGTGAATTCAAGTTTGAATAATGGTGAAGAACCTGGGTTAAATTGATCATGAGGAAATTGAGTTGATTTTGTTGTGTTGGAAGCCAATATGTGCATGCATGTGTCTAATTGCTTGAATTTGCATGTTTGAGTTTAAAATACATGATCCATGTAGAATTTTGGTTGAAGCCCATGTTTGTAATCACCAATTGCGCCATGTAAGTTGAAATGGGAGTAATATCCCACATGCATGTACAATTTATGAGGAATGAGTTTAAAATACATAGAACTGTGGTCATGGTAGCAAGTTTGGTGTAAATTGAAACATGCATGTAAATGGGTTATGAAATTGAGCTTCACAATGTGTTGAATTTGATGTTAGTACATGTTTATGTAAAGATTGAGCCAAAATCATGCATTTAGAACCTTTGAATACCAAGTTGAAGCTCAAGAATGTGTTCTGGATTTTCCAGAATTTTGATGTCCGGTCGAGCGGGGAAACCGCCGCTTGAGCGTGAAATACATCCTCCCAACATTTTTGCAGGCACGACATCCACTCGAGCGGGGGAAGTCCACGCTCGAGCTGGGAGCAATGTAGGATGGCCTTCCATTCGAGCGTCCGAGTTCGTGCTGGAGCGTAAATTTGACATATCCAGTACTTTTTGCAAACCTATTGGGTCCGCTCGAGCGGGGAAGTCCATGCTTGAGCGGGGACCCTGTTTTCTGAAATTTTGAAAAGGCATTCTGAGTTTCGTTTTATGTCCTCTTTCACTTCTACGTACTCTTAGGCATGCATTGAGCATTGTAATTGAGTTAAAGGGATAAGAATGAAGCCTAAAGAGAAAAATGTCAATTTAGAACGGATTGAATTGTTTGTGACCCTTTTATGTTCATGGAATGTGTATGGGCGAGCTCTACGGAAAACCAACCAACCGATCACTGTGAGTAATATCTAAACAAAGATATCTGTAATACGTTGTTGTCCAAATTACTTACTTCTAGGTAAGTTTTATAAGTTCGTTGATTCAATTGGCGGACAATGTTGTTATGCTAAATGAATGAATGGGCCAGAGGCCGTTTTGACATGAACGAATGGGCCAGAGGCCGTTTTGACGTGAACGAATGGGCCAGAGGCCGTTTTTGACATGAACGAATGGGCCAGAGGCCGTTTTGACGTGAACGAATGGGCCAGAGGCCGTTTTTGACATGAACGAATGGGCCAGAGGCCGTTTTGACGTGAACGAATGGGCCAGAGGCCGTTTTTGACATGAACGAATGGGCCAGAGGCCGTTTTGACGTGAACGAATGGGCCAGAGGCCGTTTTTGACATGAACGAATGGGCCAGAGGCCGTTTTGACGTGAACGAATGGGCCAGAGGCCGTTTTTGACATGAACGAATGGGCCAGAGGCCGTTTTGACGTGAACGAATGGGCCAGAGGCCGTTTTTGACATGAACGAATGGGCCAGAGGCCGTTTTGACGTGAACGAATGGGCCAGAGGCCGTTTTTGACATGAACGAATGGGCCAGAGGCCTATATCTTTGTTGGCTTGTAAAACAAAATTTACAAAGCTTAGTCTTGATCATTTGTATTATTGTTTGACATTCCATAACAAGAGGTTGCATTAACAGGTTCTTCATAAATCCTATAATGGCCAACATCAGAGCAGCATATTGTGTAAGGCTTAAGAAACTCAGCTCCAAATTTCGAATGCCCACATCAATTGACCGTGGACAGAATGAATACTTTATGGTTTTATAAAGGTGTCATAGCTGAAAACAGATGTTGCATTTGCCCAAGCGATACTAATGAACCAAAACCAGGTTTCACGGTTCACCAGTTAAAACATGTGTTTTGCCGGTTTTTGCAAACACAGGTTTTATTGTCCAAACGGCTTTGGTGGTTTGTTTGGCAAAAAACATGACTAGCGAATGGGTTCATTGCTTGAACTGGCCTCTCTAATCTGGTTTCAAAATATTGCCGAGAGGTCTATGCCTTCAATTAAATATTAATTCTATAGTGACACAACATATTTAAGGTTTCAAATCTTTAAACTGTGAATCTCACTGTGACCGCAACATTAAGTTCACAATATACATAATCAATAGATTCTTATCAATGCAATTGATAATTAACATTCATGTTCCTAGATATTTATATTTATACAAGCAAATAAGGGGTTGTTTGGAATGACGTAAATAAGTGTACTTTTTGTCTTTTTATAAAAAGATGTGCAGAAAAGTAGAGAGGTGATGTGATAGAAAAAAGATAAAAAAGATGAATTATTTTTGGGTTGCCAAACTTGGCCCATCTTCCAAAAAATCTAAAAAGTAAAAAAGTCACTATCCTATTTAAGTCACATCATCTCATTTAAGTCACATCACCTCTCTAACACATCACTTCAAACCCAACTCAAATCCAACTCATATTTGATAAAAAGTCAAAAAGTGCACTTATTTAGGCCTAGTTTGGAAAGACTAAATAAGTGCACTTTTTGACTTTTTTTGTATTATGTGTAGAAAAAGTAGAGAGGAGATGCTGATTGATGTGACCCAAAAAAGATAAAAAGATGAAATAAGTGCACTTTTTTCTTTGTAGCCAAACTTGGCCTTAGTCTTCTCAAACTTGGCCTAAATGTCTAAAGTGCATCCTGACACCCCCCAATCCTAATCAATAAAATAATAATGTATATGCTTTGTTGTCTTTCCCTTTAATTCAGGCTTGTTGGAAATGCTCAAGCTCCTCAGTAACTATTTTTTAAAGCACAAAATGCTCCATTAATTCCAGATAAGGAGATTGCTAGGCAACTAAAGGCACAAAGGCAAGCAAACTTAAAACTGGAATCATAAACATGGCGTCAAGATTCAGTCACTAACTGCAGCTAATAATACCAAATCTAGATTCTAAAAGGAATCATGAATGAAACTTAGGGCTGGGTACAGAGTTATCTGATCCGCACAATCCGTCTTACCTGATCTTACTCACACATATGGGCGATTTCACAAATACAATAAGGTAGGATGAGATTTAAAATATTTCAAATTTTCGGATGGATCACGGGTTTGACCCGCGCCCGTGAAAATCGCCCGCGTTTTTTTTTTTTGGGGAAAAAGGCTGAACCGTTCATCCTTTTTATTCCCATCCGTGGATGATATTTTTTGCCCTATCCCAAACAAAACCAATTGAGATCAAAACCCTAATCTCAACTCATTCTCTTATCTCGACTCACTGAGACTGAGAGAGAGCTCTCTTCATCTTCTCATCTCTCTCCCGTTTTTCGTCTGCGCAGATCGCACGCGACGATCGACCTTCAATCTGTGATTTGTATCTCTGAGGTAAGGCTCTCTCTATCTCGCTTTCTCTCATCGATCTGTGATTTGATTTGTATCTCTGTGTATCGCTCTCTCTCTTCGATCTGTGTTTTTTTTTGGGCAATCAGACCTGTCTCACCCTCTCTCGTTTTTTATCTCCACAGCTCGCATCGATCAACCTTCATCTTCTCATCTCTCTCGTTTTTCATCTGCGCAGCTCGCACGTGACGATCGACCTTCGCAATCGACTCTCTCTCTCCGGCGACTGTGGGGTAAGTCTCTCGCTGTCTTGCTCTCTCTCCCCGATCTGTGATTTGTATCTCTGTATCTCTGTCTCTCTCTCTCTTTCTGTCTCTCTCTCTGTCTCTCTGTCTCCCTCTCAGTTCTGTCTCTCTCTTTCGTTTGAAATTGTTTGAATTTTTTGAACTTGAATCTGTTTAGGTTTTTCTGTTTTTTATTTTGTTTAATTTTTTTGGGGAGTTTGATCTTTGTAATCTGAATCTGTTGGGTGGGTTAATCTGATCTGATCTTTGTAATATGATCTTTATAATTTTATCTTTGTAATCTGATCTTTGTAATGTGAATCTGTTTAGATTTATCTCTCTCTCATTTTTGTTTGATTTACTTACTCTGTTACTTTTGAATCTTTGTAATCTGTTTAATTTTGAATCTGAATTGAATTTGGAATCTGTTTACTTTTGAATCTGTTTAATCTGAATCTGAAAAACAGGTTGGCTGAAATGTAAATATGCTTCTCATGTTAAAAGTATATATCTCATTGAATATCAGATTTGGGAGGACATTCATTCTGGAAAGCTATAAACAGTTTCAATAAGCTGCACCAAATACGGTCTTTGTTTAATTCCTCAATGGTTTGAGTCCTGTTAAACATTATGTTGAAGTATTAGATGTCTCTTCCACAAAGCTAAGTTAAGTAATCCCGGTTAGCGTCTTTGCAACTTCCTTGCATTTATTTGTTCAAGATGGAACCTAGAGAAAGTTCACTTTTTGTGCTATCGTGAGAATCGTGGTTTTGCTGATCTGGGCTTGTCCCTTGTTGGTGAAGTCTTAATATCAGTTTCACAAGGTAGAGCGGCAGAATTTGGGTCACAGTTCTCTTCTAATTAGAATTTTCTCTTTTTTTACAGTTGAAATTGTTTTCTGCACTGGCTTTCCTGACAAACGCTATTTGTTTAGGATGGAAAGATAGCCCCCCAATATTCCTAATGCTGTGGGATGGGAACTTAACAGAGGGAAGAAGTTATTAAGATGTATTAGCCTAGCTAAATCAATGGATCTGACTAGGTATGTATTGAGATTGTTACTCCATAGTCCATAAGGGCATTATTCCATTGCTTCCTTTTGACATTTAAAGCTACAACATTGACAGGTTAGCAATATTGGCTGCAGATTTAAATTTAAAATTAATGAGATGGTGCGCTTTGCCATCTTTGGACTTAAACACCTTCTTTGCTACTTGTTTCATTCATGATTCCTTTTGGAATCTAGATTTGGTATTATTAGCTGCAGTTGGTGACTGAATCTTGACGCCATGTTTATGATTCCAGTTTTAAGTTTGCTTGCCTTTGTGCTTTTAGTTGCCTAGCAATCTCCTTATCTGGAATTAATGGAGCATTTTGTGCTTTAAAAAATCGTTACTGAGGAGCTTGAGCATTTCCAACAAGCCTGAATTAAAGGGAAAGACAACAAGCATATGCATTATTATTTTATTGATTAGGATTAGTGGGGGGGGGGGTGTCGGGATGCACTTTAGACATTTATTTGCATGTATAAATATAAATGTATGGGAACATGAATGTTAATTATCAATTGCATTGATGAGAATCTATTGATTATGTATATTGTGAACTTAATGTTGCGGTCACAGTGAGATTCACAGTTTAAAGATTTGAAACCTTAAATATGTTGTGTCACTATAGAATTAATATTTAATAGAAGGCATAGACCTCTCGGCAATATTTTGAAACCAGATTAGAGAGGCCAGTTCAAGCAATGAACCCATTTGCTAGTCATGTTTTTTGCCAAACAAACCACCAAAGCCGTTTGGACAATAAAACTTGTGTTTGCAAAAATCGGCAAAACACATGTTTTTACTGGTGAACCGTGAAACCCGGTTTCGGTTCATTAGTATCGCTTGGGCAAATGCAACATCTGTTTTCAGCTGTGACACCTTTATAAAACCATAAAGTATTCATTCTGTCCACGGTCAATTGATGTGGGCATTCGAAATTTGGAGCTGAGTTTCTTAAGCCTTACACAATATGTTGCTATGATGTTGGCCATTATAGGATTTATGAACCTGTTAATGCAACCTCTTGTTATGGAATGTCAAACAATAATACAAATGATCAAGACTAAGCTTTGTAAATTTTGTTTTACAAGCCAACAAAGATATACATCCCACACTACTCACTTTCTAAAATCTAACCTGTAAAGAGTTGAACTCGGCACCTCATGTGCGGAAGGCGTTGAAGTGAACCACCATAGCACCACATTCCTTTGAACACATTTAGTAATATAAATTATTTGTTACATTAACTTCATTTTCCATTAAACACAAGATTAATTAACGTTGTATAAATTTATGTATTTGGTTAACATATTTACGCAAATATGTGTATCCTAAAATGTAAAAGTAGTTTAAATAAATATTTCTTAATACCTTTATTTTATATTTAAATATAATTTTAAATATAAACAAGGGTTGGCTCAGTTGGTAAGGCTTGTTCCCTTTGCCCAAATGGCAAAGGTTTGAGTCCCACTGCCGGCAGTCTTTTGTTTGTGGGCGATATTGCGTAATGCCCTGGAGTGGGGTAGCCACCCCTCCTAAACTTTTTTTGAATAAAAAAAAAAAATATATAATTTTAAATATATTTATGACATAATTATGACATACAGTTTAATTCTGGTTGACCCGACTGTTGGATGCCATGTTTTTAAACTTGAAAATTAATACGAAAACATGAAAGGATTGATCTTGCATCCTATCCTAGCATCATATTTTAAGAGATTATAGGTGCTTACAGTACTGATCTTATATGTGAGTAACATAGTTACACATTGCAGTACTATTTAGTAGCTGTGGGTGGGTTATGGTTTTTGGTTTTATGCTAGTTATGAATTGCAAAACTATTGAGCACACATGGTTGGGATATTGTATTTTGTTTGTGGAATTTGATTTCTTCTTCCAGTACCTGATGACTATTGTTGTTTCTGTGTGTGCACTTGTGCATGAATATGGTAGCGCGGCTGTAATTATATTTTTGACTGGCTGCTCCAATCATGTTGTCCTTTTCAGATTATAGGTTAATTACGCATACAGAAACGCTTCAAATATCAGAATATTTTTGTCAATCCAATCTGAAGACAAGGAAAAGCTATTGTTCGGCAAGGAAAACTTTACTGCATGACCTTTTGACATTTCTGCAATGTCAGGGTTACTTAATGTATAGTCCTCCTTTACATAACCTCTTTATACATAAAATGATGTTGAGAGTGTTAGCCATATAGTTGTTGGATCTTTAGGTTCTTGTGTCCTAAGAGTGTCCTAAGAGTGTCGGTGTCCGACACGGACACGACACGGATACGTCACCTTCTTAGAAGTGTCCGTGCTTCTTAGTTCATCAGTTTCTTATCCAACAAGAAATGCAGAAAGGCTGGGCTTAAAACATATCCACTTTTTATATGGTTTCTCGCTATGTTGTGTGGAGCAATCTCTAGCATGCATAGTTAAACCATTTATGGAGGGTGATTGGAAGACCATCTTACTTAATTATTTTATGCTTTTGTTTTTTGGCTATCAAGAGACAAATCTATTTATAAAGAGGACCACCAAAATTTGGAGATAAATTGTTCTGGACATGATTGTAGAGATACATTAGCTATTGGGCATTCACTCAATTCCCTTTAGTTATGTTTAGTTCTACATGCATCCTCTATTTGTTTTCACTTGAGTCTTGCATGTTTTGTATGCCAATTGTTTGATCTTGGTTCTGGGTTTTGTGAATGCTTATTGTCATATCAAAACTTGGACCACGAGTGGCATGATTTATATGGTCATGCATATTCCTGGTGCTTGTAAAATTTATCAAACTTATCTGCAGTCATTTATCTTTAAAAAGTTAAAATCTGCTAAAAAATAGTTTCCAAACAAGCCTATAAGTATTTTTGGTTGTGGGGGTAGCAACCGACTTGTAATTGGATGCCCTGGTTGATTAAATTATGTTCACTGGTTGTGTTGTGTGTAATTCTTGTTGGATGACATTAGATTTCTTATTATTCTCTGTAAAGATGAAGATGTATTATGTTTTTAATTGTTGACTGATGCTTTTGCTATAGTAAATGACATTCTTTGGATTCAGCTTCTCCGCAGGTGATTTCTATGCTGGGAAATTCCTACCAAACTGGTGGCCCACTATCGCAAAGTCATGTCCAAGCTGTCAATAATCTTAATTCTATGGGAATGTTGAATGATGTAAATTCCAATGATGGTTCTCCCTTTGATATAAATGATTTCCCTCAGCTGACCAGCCGCCCCAGTTCTGCTGGAGGTCCTCAAGGACAATTGGGTAAGTTAGGTGCTTATTTTTGCTTAGCATAGTCCTCTTCAGGTCTTTATGCCTGCAATTAGATCATTATTTTAAGCAAAGAATTTCAGGTTCGCTTCGTAAACAAGGTCTTGGTGTTAGTCCTATTGTTCAGCAAAATCAAGAGTTCAGCATCCAAAATGAAGATTTTCCAGCTTTACCAGGATTTAAAGGTTCTTACATGCTTTTATTCTCTCTCTATCTCTCTCTCGTTTTTGTTAAGAGTAATTTTTAAGTCATTGTCACTATTGATGTTATTTGTTCGGGTCAGGTGTTCTTGTAATCTATTTGTTTGTCTGGTGATCAGTGAAGTGCCTAAAAAGCCTGTAATAGAAATTTTTGGGTGGCCTTTTACCATTGTTGCTATGTCAGATTATTATTATTATTATTTTTTTCCTGGTGTTAATTATTAAATTTACAACTCAGGAAGAGTTAGGGACGTTAGATATGCATGCTTATCGCTCTTAACGGTTCATGTCTAGGTCTATTGGATATTAGGCAATGTATGCTGTTCTTAACAGCTGTGAATTTTTAAAATTGTAAGATGTTAATTTTTTGGGGATTCTTCCAATTGACATTGCCTCTTGATCTTTTTAGTTATTTTTCACGATATTTCTGCCTCTATTGTAGTTTATTTCTTATTTATTTATTTTTTCATAGGATGCCTTTCATTAGTTATATGGCAATAGAAATTGCATATGCATGCAGGAAAACCAAGTTCGATGTGTCATATGGCTTGTTGCTCTGGATGTGAGAAACTGTTTATGCTGTAATTTGTTTGATCTTGTCTTCTGACTAGCATGTTTTTTACATTTTGTTATGACGTACAACAATTTTATCTCTATGCCCTGGTAATGACCTGCTGTATATTCTTAGTTCTTACATAATAGAAGTTACAGCTTAGATAACTTGGCAAGTCTTGAACGGTTCTATTATTTCTGTGAAAAAGAATTTGATAGTTGTCTTCATTGTTTGTCTATTGATTCAGTTTATATTTAGAGGTGTAAAAAGCTGCAAATGAAGCACCTCTAAGGTCTGACTAAATTTTTAAGCATTATAAAAAAGAGAATATATATTAGTTGAAGACCAGTATAGCATTGTGATGAGTAGAATTTTATTTTATTTTATTTTTGAACAGAGAGTAGAATGGACTTGAGATGGTACCTGTTTTGCATAAAACTAGATCCAAGTGTTTGGACAGCATGCTGAATGACCAAACTAGAATTTGAGATTCTGTTGTTGTCTTTTCCTTGTTTCCCCTTTGCACTGATTGACTGGCCCACAAAATGGATGGTTTTTTAGCATGATGGGCATGAAGGTTGCATAATCACAAATGAGAGGTTTCCAGAGGTCGTCTTGCACTATACACTGTTTAAAGTGGGCGGGTAGAGTAGAAAGGGCTTTATGTAAGTAAGATCTTGTAAGATCGACATCTTTTTGCCATTAGTTCTTTTATTATCTGACTCTTCTGTGAACCCATTGGTTATGCTTGAATGGCAATTATTTGCAGGATTAAGGTTCTGTTTATGTCAATAATACTGTATTGATCCGTTTGAAATTTTTAAGAAAAGAACTTGTAATTGACATAGTGGTTTGTAATATCAGTCAGTGTGTGGAGTAGGATTTACATCTTGGTCATGACCTAAGTTGGATTGAAATAGCTAACAGCTTTACACTATTGTTAAAGTCCATTTTTTGCTTATTTTTCATCCATCAATGGAATACAATTTGAAACTATATATGTTGTGTTGTCTTCCTGATGCTCGTTTAATTATCTACGCTTACTACTCAACTTGCTTTTGATAGGAAGTAATTGTGATTGTTGTGATAACTTCTGCCTCATTGGGAAGGGTGGTTGATAACCCAAATTTTGCAATAATTGAGATTCTCTATCTATATTAGAAATCCTTTCTCTTTCTACTTTTAGTTAGAGTTTGTTTGGATACTTTTATTTTTACCAGATTTTATCTTTAAAAAGTTAAAATCTGCTAAAAAATAGTTTCCAAACATGCCTATAAGTACTTTTGGTTGTGGGGGTAGCAACCAACTTGTAATTGGATGCCCTGGTTGATTAAATTATGTTCACTGGTTGTGTTGTGTGTAATTCTTGTTGGATGACATTAGATTTCTTATTATTCTCTGTAAAGATGAAGATGTATTATGTTTTTAATTGTTGACTGATGCTTTTGCTATAGTAAATGACATTCTTTGGATTCAGCTTCTCCGCAGGTGATTTCTATGCTGGGAAATTCCTACCAAACTGGTGGCCCACTATCGCAAAGTCATGTCCAAGCTGTCAATAATCTTAATTCTATGGGAATGTTGAATGATGTAAATTCCAATGATGGTTCTCCCTTTGATATAAATGATTTCCCTCAGCTGACCAGCCGCCCCAGTTCTGCTGGAGGTCCTCAAGGACAATTGGGTAAGTTAGGTGCTTATTTTTGCTTAGCATAGTCCTCTTCAGGTCTTTATGCCTGCAATTAGATCATTATTTTAAGCAAAGAATTTCAGGTTCGCTTCGTAAACAAGGTCTTGGTGTTAGTCCTATTGTTCAGCAAAATCAAGAGTTCAGCATCCAAAATGAAGATTTTCCAGCTTTACCAGGATTTAAAGGTTCTTACATGCTTTTATTCTCTCTCTATCTCTCTCTCGTTTTTGTTAAGAGTAATTTTTAAGTCATTGTCACTATTGATGTTATTTGTTCGGGTCAGGTGTTCTTGTAATCTATTTGTTTGTCTGGTGATCAGTGAAGTGCCTAAAAAGCCTGTAATAGAAATTTTTGGGCGGCCTTTTACCATTGTTGCTATGTCATATATATATTTTTTTTTCCTAATCATTAGATTTACATCTTAGGAAGAGTTAGGGACGTTAGATATGCATGCTTATCGCTCTTAACGGTTCATGTCTAGGTCTATTGGATATTAGGCAATGTATGCTGTTCTTAACAGCTGCGAATTTTTAAAATTGTAAGATGTTAATTTTTTGGGGATTCTTCCAATTGACATTGCCTCTTGATCTTTTTAGTTATTTTTCACGATATTTCTGCCTCTATTGTAGTTTATTTCTTATTTATTTATTTTTTCATAGGATGCCTTTCATTAGTTATATGGCAATAGAAATTGCATATGCATGCAGGAAAACCAAGTTCGATGTGTCATATGGCTTGTTGCTCTGGATGTGAGAAACTGTTTATGCTGTAATTTGTTTGATCTTGTCTTCTGACTAGCATGTTTTTTACATTTTGTTATGACGTACAACAATTTTATCTCTATGCCCTGGTAATGACCTGCTGTGATGGAAACATATTTTGTACAAAAAAAGGGAATGTAATATAGCTTACATTTTTTATTTCAGTACAATGCTTGGGATTTGGGTCACATCACATCTTCAGACAAAAAATACTTTCACCCACATCTTACTGACTGTTGTACTAGATATTGCACAGGTGGCAATGCTGATTATGCAATGGACTTGCATCAGAAAGAACAACTTCATGACAATACCGTGTCCATGATGCAGTCTCAGCACTTCTCTGTAAGTGTTAATTTGTGAAAGATTTTGAGTATTTGCCGTAATATCATCTGATGCTTTGTCTTTTCAATTTTGCCCTTAGACTTCTGTGCTTTAATGTGCAGATGGGGAGGTCTGCTGGATTCAACTTGGGAGGATCATATTCATTGCATCGTCCACAGCAGCAACAGCAACAGCAACATGCACCATCAGTCAGTAGCAGTGGCATCTCCTTTTCAGCTGTAAACAACCAGGATCTTCTCCATCTGCATGGCTCAGATATGTTCCAATCGTCCCATTCAAACTATCACTCGCAGGTGTGTTAGTCTTGTGACTTTAGTGGGTTAATTGAATTGTTTTACCTTATCCAAAGACCACTCGTGCCTTCCACTGCAACACTGGTGGAGTTCTAAATTTTTAAACCCCAAACTAAAGGTTTTCTACCACCGGCACTGAATCACCACCTTACCATTTTGTTCCAAGAAATTGGTGTGTGGTTTATAGAAATGAATCTAGAATCAAATGTCATTATAAATACCTTGTAGGTGATGCAGATTGATTCAAGTTGCTTCTTATAATAGTTATTTACTAAATATTTTCAGAATATGCTGAATATGATTTTTTCCCCTGTGCTCTCTGGTTTGGCGTTCATGTCGTAAAACATTTCTGTGCTGTCCATTGAATGACATCATCAAATGTCTATTTGATATTGTTACAGACCAGTGGACCGCCTGGCATAGGATTAAGACCTCTGAACTCTCCGAATACAGTTTCTGGTATGGGGTCTTATGACCAGCTTATCCAACAGTATCAGCAGCACCAGAGTCAGTCCCAGTTTCGCCTGCAGCAAATGTCTGGTGTAAATCAATCATACAGGGATCAGGGTGTGAAGTCCATGCAAGCTCCACAAGCTGCGCCCGATCCATTTGGTTTGCTTGGTTTATTGAGTGTAATAAGGATGAGTGATCCTGATCTGACATCGCTTGCACTTGGAATTGATCTGACAACGCTTGGGTTGAACTTGAACTCGACTGAAAATCTTCACAAGACATTTGGATCCCCATGGTCAGATGAGCCTGCTAAGGGTGATCCAGAGTTCAGTGTGCCTCAATGCTATTATGCTAAACAACCACCTATTTTAAATGTAAGATGATCTCTCTTCTTGTTTTTGGTCTGCTTTTTTTGGTAGCTACTTTCTTTTCTTACTCAAATATTTGTTGGTGTGGTTGCAGCAATCGTATTTTATGAAGTTCCCAATGGACACATTGTTTTACATCTTTTACAGGTGTGTCTCTTGCTTGGTTTCTAAAAAGTCTTTTGGGTAAATTACAACAATATCGCTCAATAAAAAATGATACGCGTTGCCACCATGAAGTATCAATTTGTATAATCTGTATCAATCTGATCCTTACATTAAGGTTCTGTTACATAAATGGATGAGAAATTGACATATGCTTTGCATATGACTCAAATATTGTGAAATGCTTAAAATATACTTAATCTTCTATTTCCCTTCTTTGCCCAAATCTTTTTGTGAATCTTGTTATCATAAGGTGATAATAATTTCTATTCTTATTATGCAGCATGCCAAAAGACGAAGCCCAGTTATGTGCTGCATATGAACTGTATGCTCTTTCAGCCCTAGCTACTCTAATTTATATAGATGTGTATATTTACTTTCACCAACTGCTCGTTGTGTACCCTGAATTGCAATTTGTGAAGCATTTACATATTTTATTTTGAAATTTTACTTGAAGTATATCATCACATTGCCTTGCACTGTCCCCACTAACCAGTCATGTATGTAGGTTTGCAATTTGCTTATGGCTGTGTTACCTACTGTTTGCAGATACAACAGAGGTTGGTTTTATCACAGAGAGCTTCGTCTCTGGTTTACGAGGGTTTCCAATGTGGAACCACTTGTTAAGACAAACACATATGAGAGAGGGTCTTATATCTGTTTCGATCCAAACGCATGGGAAACAATCCGCAAGGTTTGGATTTTCGAACACCTGTTTTGTTGATGTCATTCATTGTTAAATTTTTCCTCGCAATGACTGACTGCTTTCGTTGAATCAATATTATTTTTGCTGCAGGATAATTTTGTCGTTCACTATGACATGTTGGAAAAAAGACCAGCTCTACCCCAACATTAACTCATATTTTCCAGTTTACAGTGTAAAGTTTCAGTTTAGTTTCAATGTTAGAATCTGAGAGTCAGTTTCCCATTTTAGTGTTCCTCCAATTGGCCATTGTAAGTAAATTGTTGCATAAATCTTGTTTTAGTTAAGTCATTTAGTCCCTTTTTTACATGATGCTAAATATAACATTAGAAAAGAAAAAAAAATGAACTGGTTTTTATACCTGTTTTAATGAATAGTTCGGTTTTGATAATCAAAAGAGATACTAATCATCAGTGGTTAATCACTCGATTCAAGTTCAGCTTAGACATTGCATGGGTTTTGCTTAATTTTATTTAGTAGTTACACTGTACTTTATTTATATTTTTATTTTGAAAATATTATTTATTTATAACCTAGAATATGGTGAAATGAACTGACATACCAAGTTACACATGTACTGAATCCTTACCTGCCTAGTACTGATTATAATCTGCCAAATTGAATATGTACAAGTTTGAGAAAGCTGTGGCAAATTAATAATAATAAGAATGTTTATGAAGTGGTTTGTGAAAATTGTGGCAAATTAGCGGCAAATGTGTATCATGCTGCTTTTGTGTAGTTGCTCCTAGAAATTTGTCTACAAATGTAGATTTGCTGGATTTTACGAGTAGGATTAATTTTTGTATGCAAGTGGGGCTTTTTGGATTTTGGATTTATGGAGTGAAAATTATATAATCATTTTTTTTCCCCAGTTCTCTTTCTATTTCTTTTCCATTACAATTTTATTATGATCCAAAAATAAAGCATTAGGAGTGCCGTGTGTGTGTGTGGGTTGGGGAGTGGAGATGGTGATTGCTTGACCTCTCATGGAGCTATTTTTTACGTGCCTCAAGAGTACATGATGACTTAGACCTTGGGTTTGGCTTAGTTGTCATCTTAAGGTGTGAAGGTGTGGTGAGGGGAAAGTAAGATGTATGAACTGATAGAATAGCGGTGACTCCTTTAGTTGTTATCTAATATTACTAATAAATTAATATCTTACAATTTTGGGGAAAAAAAAAAAAGAAAAGACAAAAGAAAGCAATGCAAAACTTATGAATTTCAATGGGTAATTTAGCACCACAAGCTTAGTTCATTGATCGAGAGAGATGGAGTCTCACTCTCTCAATGTATAGATGGGATGGTCACTCAAAATAAATCAAAAGAAACCGTTACCTTTTAGGTCTACAATGTTAGTGGCAATCAAGATTTTACAAGCTATGACTGTGTTTAGTTTATAGATTTTGGGGAGAAATTTGAAAAGAAAAAGAGAGATTGTGTGAAATGTAATTATATGCTGCATACATTTTATTTACTTTTTTTTCTTTCTCTTTTCAATCTCTTCTCAAATTCATAAATCAAACAGAACATAAATGTTTTTTTCCTCACCTAGGGTGTAGGGTCCACATCTAGTATGAATCTCACATCCTGTAGAATTTTGTGTATTCAGATGCACATTTGAGTAACCATCGGGAGTGGTGACCTAGTGGAGAAAGTATCAACTAGGGTGACCTAGGTTCAAATTCTTAGGGTGTGAAAAATGGCTAGATTTTCAGTTAGTTCTTTTGAGATTTTGCATTGTATTTTGATCGATTTTGAGTTCTTCTGTGGCGTGTGGGTGAACTCCTTTGATACTTGGTGGTGAGTCCATTTCTATAAGTTGGGTTAAATTTGACCGACAATTGACTATCCTGAGGTTAGGGCCTACGGATGAACTGACTATCCTGAGGTTAGGGTTTACAGATGCAGTGACGACATCACAAAATAAATTTTTTAATTTTTGTTCAAAAAAACAAAAACAAAAGCATATTCGAGTAGTTTTGGGCAAGTTTTGAGCGCTCGTTTGATTGCACATTGTACGGATTAACTAAATGTTATTATGCTTGCTAGTAATAATTAGAGAATTCATGTGAATGTATATTTGTTTGGTAAATAAAAGACTCTATTGCTCAAGTCAAATTCAGACACACTTTTTTATGTGGAATGGAATTTTGTCCTGTTTTTAAACAAAACAATAATAATAATAATAATTTTACTCCAAAAAAATGAAAGGAAAAATTATAAATCCATGGTGCCTTTACAAAATATATTTACAAATTCATACAAAAATTTATAACTTTAATTATTAAAGTTGATCAAATTTACCATTGTACCATTGATTTGAATTTTTTTTGAAAACATGCACTGAATTGCAATTTTCCCATAAAAAATTGACTATCCCTCTAGTAGCTTAAGGTAGAAGAGTTGGTGGTTAATAATTCAGCATGGATAATGTATATATGCATGTGTATAGATTGTGCAACATGTACATGGGTTTCTATGTTTCTTGAGAATTTCAATGGGTAATTTAGCACCACAAGCTTAGTTCATTGATCGAGAGAGATGGAGTCACACTCTCAATGTATAGGTGGGATGGTCACTCAAAATAAATCAAAAGAAACCGTTATTTTTTAGGTCTACAATGTTAGTGGCAATCAAGATTTTACAAGCTATGGCTGTGTTTAGTTTATAGATTTGGGGAGAAATTTGAAAAGAAAAAAAGAGATTGTGTGAAATGTAATTATATTTTGCATACATTTTATTTATTTATTTTTTCTTTCTCTTTTCAATCTCTTTTCAAATTCATAAATCAAACAGAACATAAATGTTTTTTTCCTCACCTAGGGTATAGGGTCCACATCTAGTATGAATCTCACATCCTGTAGAATTTTTTGTGTTCAGATACACATTTGAGTAACCATCGGGAGTGGTGACCTAGTGGAGAAAGTATCCACTAGGGTGACCTATGTTCAAATTCTTAGGGGGTGAAAAATGGCTAGATTTTCAGTTAGCTCTTTTTGAGATTTTGCATTGTATTTCGATCAATTTTGAATTCTTCTGTGGCGTGTGGCTGAATTTTATTGATACTTTGGTGGTGAGTCCCTTTCTATAAGTTGGGTTAAATTTGACCGACAATTGACTATCCTGAGGTTAGGGCCTACGGATGAACTAATTATCCTGAGGTTAGGGTTTACAGATGCAGTGACGACACCACAAAATAATTTTTTTAATTTTTGCTCAAAAAAACAAAAACAAAAACATATTCGAGTAGTTTTGGGCAGGTTTTGAGCGTTCGCTTGATTGCACATTGTACGGATTAACTAAATGTTATTATGCTTGCTAGTAATAATTAGAGAATTCATGTGAACGTATATTTGCTTGGTAAATAAAAGATGCTATTGCTCAAGTCAAATTCAGACACACTTTTTTATGTGGAATGGAATTTTGTCCTGTTTTTAAACAAAACAACAACAATAATAATAATAATAATAATAATAATAATAATAATAATAATAAGAAGAGTAATCCATTAAGATCTTGTATGCTGAATCATCTAATTTGTCCTGCAACATTGACCCAAGCTTGAGAGACAAATCAGAAAAAAAAGAAAAAGAAAAAGAAAAAAGAAAAAAGAATTAACCAACTCGAAAATACTATTTCAGTCTATATTTCGTGTACCTTGCATACTGATTGTGTATGTAGTCCCTACATGATTTCAGGTAAATGGAACAACTTTGTATAAAAGTAGAAGAATGAGTGCCTTTATATAAAAGTAGGTAATGGCCTCAAAAAGTGAAAATTGATTGATCTGTATATAAAGTAGGGATACAACTTTTGCGAGAGGGATACAACTTTGCGAGAAGTGACACTGGGTCAGTTTCAGCGAAAACTTGAGATGTCAAGTCCTACAAATAAAAGAAAACTTATTGCATGTGAATTACCATGAAATTCATGCTGACATGTCTATCATCACTTGGACGTGAAGAATGAAGGTAACCACTATTTTGATCATAGATCAAACTTTACATTTACAAGAAGAAAATAGGAAAGGATAAAAAAATAACTTCAATATAGCACATCATTTCATAGTTCTAAAATAGCTGCTAATACAATAAAGCAAAAGAACATAAGAAAATAATGTTATGAACCCAATGTGGGATATGAACCCTCCCCCACTATTTTTCCAAGGGCCCATGCTATAATCCTTGCTCATGCATTGGCTCACAAGCCAGACATTAAACACAAACTCTCAAACACAATGAATAAGTGATAAATAAGAGTGTGGTAGCGATGTACGCATTGAAATCATATGCCAAATGATGGCATATCATGCAAACAACCCAAGTATAGCATGCTAGAGGACTCAAGCATTAAAGCTAGTGATGTACACAATACTAAGACTATGCAATACTATGCACAAACAACTAAACTAGCCCAAAACAGAGCTATATCATGGCAAATCAGTGGCAAAAACATGCTCAAATTAAGGCTCAAAGGAGTAGAAAATCGTGCTCCTTTGGTAGCTCACAAATAAGGCACAAAGGCACAACTCTCAAAAGCTCTCAAGGAGTGAAAGAAGTGAGAACATGACACATGTATATGCTCTGAAATTACACGCTAAATGATGCCAAAACATGCAACCATCACAAATATAGCATGCTAAGGGCCTCAAAACTCAAGACTAGTGAAACCAATTACACTATAGCTTTACAAAGCTAAGCATGCATGACCAAAACCACTCAAATCAGACCTAAAGCATGTTAAATCAAAGCAAAAAATGTGCTGGAGTAGAGCATACACATGCTAGATCAATAGGCTAAAACACCAAACATGCTAGGCTAGTGAACCAAAATTGCACTACAAGTGCAAGAAGCATGCAAGAGGCAACCAAACTAACCCAAATCAGAGTTATGACATGGCAAATAATGGCTACAAACATGTTGAAATAAAGCCAATTCAAAGCATAAAGACATACTACTTTACAAGGCTACAAGTAGGATTACATTACAAGTACAAACAGCAAACAACATGAGGCCAAACCAACCCAAAACAGAATTATAACATGGCAAAATAAGGCCTAAAACATGCCAAGATGAAGCCTCAAGAGGGTAGAAAAGCATGCCAAAGTGTTAAGCCAACAACACATGGAAACAAAACACAAAAGGGGGGGACCACCCCCATCCATTTTGGGTCTCAAAACCCACTTTCCATCACTGAAATTCCTCTGGAATTCAGTGGTGAAAAGGCTAAACAAAGGTGATCTCAAAGGCCTTAAAGGATGGCACCAAGCCTAAGCAAATAAGGCACACAAGAGGGTAGAACACCCTCAACACCAAAGAGGCCTCAAACAACCATTCTAAGCACTTAAAAAAAGAACTTTGTAGTTGCAAGTTAGGCCTAAAAGAGCATGCAAGGATGGCCAAATACTTAAGCAAAACAAAGCTTAAAGAGGGTA